CACACACACACACACACGCACGCGCGCACACACACACACACACACACACACACACAACTCCCGCTTGATGGGTTTGATGCGCACAACTCAGACGCCATTGTGCAGCGTGTCACGCCGTTTGCCAAGGAGCTGGGCCGCGCCGCGGGTTGCGACGCCTGGGCGGTCGACATCTTTGGAGAAGAGGTTGTGCGAGTGAGTCTGGCTGGCCATAGCTCGTGTTTGGCATCCTTGACTGCTACCCCTTGGACAGGCCTCTTGCCAGTCCTTCTCAGTCCAGCATCTGTGCCACCTGTTCCGGACGCTACATTGCGGGATACATCAATTAGAGGATGTCTGATTTCTGACCCTTTCACAGTCACAGCTGGGCTCCCATACTCGCTCTCCTTGTGTCTGCGCTTGCAGGGTGGCCCTGCCTTTGCCATCAGCCTGCTGATCAGCGGCGTGGAACCTGCCCTCAGGGCCGCCGCAGAGCTGGGCGCCTGGCAGGTGCAGTGTCTGGGGACACAAACTTGTGCGCGGCCGCAGCGGCGAGGGAGGCCCTTTGAAACGAGTCAGCACCTGCACCACTGCGCCTGACACACACACCTATGCACCCGATACACGCATGCACTCTGTTGCCTGCTTGTGTCAGAGCCAAACCCGCGTGCATGCTGCGAACTTCGACCCAGGTCATCAGCCCGGCGGAGGTGACCGGCCGCGTGGTGGTGGTGCCCCACCTGAGCGAGGTGCAGGACAAGGTGTACGAGGACCCCACGGTGCTGGTGGTGGACAATGTCACGGGTGAGCGGCCGCCGTGCCTCCTAAAGGGAGGGCTTCAAAGGGGGCAGTTTGTGGTGATGGGGCAAACGGGGCGTCGGCTTGTGGAGGAAGGCGGGGGGCCAGCACGCTTCAAGGGCCCTGCCTGTGCGCGCCTCTTATACACCACTTTGCAATTGTCCCTCACCTTGGACCCCAGGTGAGGAGGAGATTCCTGAGGGCTGCGTGGCGGTGCTCACGCCCGATGCGCCGGACGTGCTGTCGCACGTCAGCGTCAGGGCCCGCAACATGAAGGTGAGAAAGCGGGGTCGTGATTTGGCTTGCAGACTGTTGTGGAGATATATAATCATGCGGTTATGGTTAGCTTCACGAAATTTGCGGCGCTAGCGGCCCAACACATCAACTCCATGCTTATGGCAGCATCTGGACCCGTGCTTCGTGCATTCCTTGAAAGTTCCTCGGCCCGGTTTGTTTACCCCGTATCCCTTGGTCCTGCATGCGGTCGGTCCTCCATCAAGCCAGACCCCTGGTCACACACTCCACTGCCATACCCTGCAAAGGTCCTCTTTGCTACATGCCACGACGAGGAGCCCTTGGCCCAGATCCGCGCGGCCAAGGGGCAGTACCTCCACGTCAGCACCACTGCGGCCGGCGCCGTCACTTGGGTGTCGCCCAGCATGATGTGAGCCAGGGCTGCTGCGGGCGTGGGCAGGGGGCGGGCTGGGCCTCTGGGGAGAGGCACGCATCTTGTCGTTGTGTTTGCGAGGGACCCTGTGTGTTGTGGGTCGGCCAGGTGACCTTTTGCTGCAGTAGCTTTCGCCAAGCACACAAGAGACCTTCCTTGTTATCTGCTGTCAGGCTGAATTTTGCCAGCACAGCTTGATTTTTTTTGCAAATACCCCCCCACCCCACCGCCACTCGCCTTGCCACAGGACCATCGACTCGCTGAGCGGCGCCGGCTTGCACGGCGACAACGGTGGCCCCGCGCCTGGTGCCCCCCGCAACCTGCGCATCACAATCCCCAAGTGGTGCGGGAAGTGGGCTGTGGGCGCGGACGAGTTCAAGGATGGCGTGGTGGGCGCCAAGAGCCGCAACCTGGCTAACCTGCGAGGCAAGCTTCCCGACTGGGTGCGGCTGCCGCCAGCGGTGACAGTGCCCTTTGGGAGCTTCGAGAAGGTGCGTGGCGTCAATTGTTGTGCAGGGCGGAGCACGGGACAGGGCGCAACGCCAGCCGATGGCGATATGGGCGGAGCTATCAGCGAGGGTAGCACAGCCCGCTGCGGGGTCGCACTCGCTGAGGCTGCCCAGCTAAATCCGCCCAGGTGATGCTGGACAAATCGACTTGAGCCTTGGCGCACGGGCCTCACCCTCCATGTCGTCGCCCCTTGCCCAACCTGCTTCCGGCCCCACAATTGATTCGACCAACAGGCCCTGGAGGACAAGGCCAACGACGCGGTGCGCCGCGAGTTGCAGGAGACACTCAAGCGCTTGAAGGCACTGCCGAAGCAGCAGCTTTTGCCCCCCACCAACGGCAACGGCAACGGCGCGACTGAGGCAACGCAGGACGGGCCCGCGCCGCTGCTGGCACGATGCAGGGAGATCGCCATGCAGATTCAGGTTTGCTTGTTCTCTGTGCTTTCAGTGACACACACGCGGGCGATGATTCAAAGAGCGATGTCAGACTCAGCCTTTCTTGCATTACACCCTGGATGGCCCATCTAGAGCTCACGCGTTTGCATACATGGAGGTGTTTTATACCGGTGCTTCGGCATGTTGGTCTGCCTGAGTTGTAGTACCATCTATCCTGATGCCTAGCCCCTCTTGCAGTATCTCAAACGCCTGTCTTGATTGCTCAATCCTTGATCTGAGCCCCCCCCCCCCCCGCTCTCCTTACCAGGTCCCCCAGGCGCTGCGCGAGCAGCTGGCCGCCAAGATGACGGCGGCTGGCATCCCTCCCCCCGAGGACGAGTCCCGCTGGGAGCTGGCGCTGGAGGCCCTCAAGGGGGTGTGGGCCAGCAAGTACAACGACAGGGCCTTCTACAGCCTCCGCAAGTGCGGCATCGACGCAGACGACGTGAGGGGGTGGGCAGGGCCAAGAGGGCTGGAACTCCACCAGGGCTGGGTCAGCAAGCGTGTTGGTCACATGCAATGTACACAAAATTCGTACGGTATTTCTTGCACTTTGAAAACCCAGCAACATGCACAAACCTGACCTCTGGGATCTACGCCATGCAATGCAGGTGCGCATGGCCGTGTGCGTGATGCGCGTGGTGCCCGCGCGCTACGCGTTCGTCATCCACACCAAGAACCCCCAGACCAACGACTCATCAGAGGTATGGGTGGCCTGGGACCACGTGACACCCACTCGGGAATGTGAGGTGCCCGTGTCTGGCTGTGCTCTAGACAGGCGGTACGCCTGCGTCAGAGCACGGCGACCCTGCCAACTTGGCGAGCGGCAGCTTGCTGCCATCGTCAGCCTGCTTACGATGGTGCTGTGCGTGTGCAACCGGCCGTGGCCCCTCCCTGCAACACGCCCTCCAGATTTTTGCCGAGATGGTCAAGGGCCTGGGTGAGGCCCTGGTGTCAGGAATGGTGCCGGGCAGCAGCATCGCCTTCACCGCTCGCAAGGACGCCCTGGACGACCCCCATGTGCTGTCGTACGCTTCGAAGAGCGAGGGCATGTTTGTGCGCGAAAGCCTTATCTTCAGGTAGGACTGGGATTGGTGGTTTGCACTTTTTGGCTCTGCTCTGACGTCCTACCCGGATAATCCACCAGCACAATGCCCAATGCAGCACCCTCTCAATAACATTTGACCATGTTGGCTATCCTCCTCGTCGACCCTGAACATGCCAGTGAAGTTATCCGCCGCTGCAGCTCCCCCCCAAAAAAAACTCCGTGTGCACCCTCTCTATCTGCTTCACCACTGCAGGTCTGACTCGAATGGTGAGGACCTCGAGGGCTATGCGGGCGCAGGGTTGTACGAGTCCATCACCATGGACCCAACAGAGACAGTCAGGGTGGACTACAGTGATGACCCCATCACAGCAGAGCCGCAATTCAGAAACAAGGTGGGGAGGGCTGTGACCAGCGGGGGCGGCGGGCCGCTGGACGGGCTGCATTGCAAAAGTGGAGGCTTGAAGATGGTGCAGCGCTTGTCCGCGTCTCTTAAAAATTCATGCAGGCCGTGGGCCACTTCCAACCACCCCAGCACACAAATGAATCGCAATACGTGTCACTCGCACCTGGCCGGTGCCTGTGCGCGCACCCATACCTCAGCACTGCCCCACCCGTGTCCACCTCACTACTTAATTCCCTCCCTTTGGCCCTCTTGCCCCAGGTCATGTCTGACATCGTCAAGGTGGGCGCTGCCATAGAGACCTCCTTGGGAAGCGCGCAGGACGTTGAGGGTGTTGTGGACCACGAGGGGTACGTCTACATTGTGCAGACACGACCTCAGGTGTAGATGCCAGCCGACCTCGTGTGCAGGGATGGGACCTCGTGGCCCGCCCTTGATTGCCACCACGCCCCTGTCGGGTGTAGCCCAAGCAGAGGGCTGCTATGAGCCATTCGCATTTGCATGCAGCGGCTTGATCCACCTCTGCTGCGGAAAAGTAATGCAGTGTGGTTTTGGCCCTCTTTGGCAGTGGATGTCTCAGCGTTGCATGTTCTTATTCCACTGCCAGGAGCCCCACAACGCGGTGCCCAACTTTTTCACCACTCACGCCAGCCACAAGCGGGTGTGCCCACGTCGTTTGCGTGTGACTTTTTACCTGGCTTTCAACCTGCCTTTTGACCTATAATCCAAGCGTTTGTGTACTCACAGTCTTGCGGGTACCATAGCAAATGTGTGTAATTGCAGCTACCCGGCTACATGCAACTTTGTACCTTTGCTACTCTTGCGGGGCCAGCAGGGGTGGATGCTGGTCGTGCCTTCGCGGCCACATGACGGGCAGATCAGGTGCAGCAGTCGTGGACGGTGTAACATGTTGCCCTGCTTGCCTCTTCAACCCTCAAACGTGTTGATTGCTCATGTGGGCATCACACCTTTCACTTGCTTCTAGGCGGCAGGCAGTGGCAATGGAAGCGCGGAATTTCGTTGAAACGCGTTCTTTTGGCCTTCTTTCGCCGGTTCCGCCGAAAGCCTCTTTCCGCGCGGCGAAAGCCGTGCCAGGCAGCCTCTTGACAGGTGAAAAAGAAAAAAGAAAAGGAAGTCTGAGTCTTTCTGCGTAACATGGTTTCTTTTCGCTGTGGGCTGGTGGTCGTGCCCGGGCGAGGGTGGTGAGGCGCGTTTTCGCTTCTTCTTTTCTTTCGTTCTTTCGTCCGTAGCTGGAACGCACGGTCAAGCACAAGCTTGATGCCGTGTACATAAGATACATATGCAATTACTTAAATGCTCGTTCAAATGGCTTGGGACGCCGGGAGCCGGCGGGTAGATCATTCAATCATGTGGCATCGTCAGTGGTTGCGAGCCCCTGTCATAGTTTTACACTCATAAATACTGTCTGTTTATCAACATATATACGACGGACCTCTGTATCTGTAAACGTGCTGTTTCGTGGTTGCTGGGCATTTTCTGACGTGACCAGCGCTGCTTGCAAAGTGCTGGTGCGCTGATGCAGTGCTTGGTGACGGAACAACGTTGCCATTGAGAGCTGTGCAGCATGATGAGATAAGCGTTAATTGTACGCATGCATTCGCGCTTTTCGAGTGAGGGGCGAGCCGGGGTGCGAGGTGCGCGTTCTCGAGTTGAAACCCGTGTGCGGGAGCGAGTTGAAGGGCGGCCGGCGCGCGCGGGTTAGGGGTTTAGGTTTGAACTCGGGGACGAGTGCGCTGCGGCCCGGCTGCGAGGCCGAAGGCCGAGAGGTGAAGGGGTGTAGGGCTTCCGGTTCGGGGCGAAGCCCCGAAGCGGAAGCCATAAACCCTCGTGCGGGAGCGAGTTGAAGGGCGGTCTGCGCGCGCGGGTTAGGGGTTTAGGTTTGAACCGGCAGCGAGTGCGCTTCAACCCGGTTGCGAGGCCGAAAGGGCGGTGCAGCGGAGGGCAAAGGGGCGGTGAACGCCTAAGGCGATGGGCGACGAAAAAATGAAACGAAAGAAAGGAAAGAAAGCGGGCGGTGGGCGGGGCGGCGGGGGGCGAGGG